ATGCCCACGAGAAACCATAGGAGTAAGTGTTGTTGCCGCAGTTCGAAAATCCTGCCAATTGTTGCAGATTTGTTCAAATATGGTCAATTGTCCAGTGAACACACCCACCGGTTGATGGGAAGGGATGCTGGAGACCGCACTTGGATAAGGAATGACAAAGCAATCCCAAGCAGACGCTTACTCAAACACGCTCATGCGAAGCGAGCCATCAGAACGGACGCATCGATGCATACCTAAAAAGGTACACGAGCCATCTGTCGCTGTGGTTTCCTTCCACTCAAGCCCATAGCGCTCCGAAGGAGGAGGCAATTGCCCCCATGAAAGAACATCATCAATGAGGCGATAAGTGAAGGCGTATCGCTGAGCGGCTTGAAGATCGTGTTGACGAATGTCATCAACAAAGCGTGATTCATCCCAACACAGTGTCAGATAACAAATTTATGGGTCAGCATTTGTTCCCATTGGAATCCGATAATTTGCTTCCAAAGTGTGCCATCTCTAGCGTACAAAAAAGTGTTTTGTACAACAAAGCGAAGATGTTGGAGAATCTGGGAAACGAAAAGGGTGTCCGGGCCTGAATCGGTTGTCCATTGGCCACAACGAGGTCCTCGAATAGTCATGTTCAGGGCAAATGTGTGCGAGTATGCCAAAGGGCAAAAGCATGGGCTTCATCAACAGCTTTTGCCACCTTATTCAGAATGCAGTCATGAGGGAGGTTGGTGTACATTGTGGTAAAATCAACAGTGCGAGGAGAGAGGCCACGAAGAGACGATGAATTGTTTTTCAGGTCGATCGCCACTTCATCAGCACTCTAAACGATCCAGCACCATCGAACACCAACCTGTTGATAGAGCTCAGTATCTTTCTCGCGAAGAGTAGAGATCACTCCTTGCAAAGAAGCGCTGAGATACGACGAAGTAGTCGCTGTGCTAGCCAATGGTTTGTGAGGAGGCCGTTCATGAATAGTGCCAATTGTTGGGCGAGGGCGAGCACGCGGGGAACAACACTGTTATGTGTTGTGACTCCATGAATGCTACGAAGAGCTGGAGGAGATTTGTGAGCTTTCAGCACATAGTAAAGGTAAGGTAGGGTATCAGTATGGGTGTGGCCCCAATGGTGATTCCATATTGCATGGCGGTTAAGGACATCAGCAATGGATTCATCAGGACGAGTACAAGTGGGACCGTCCAAATGGGTGGAAAGACGAAACAGATACTAATTCTTGCAGCAAATTGCCAAATTGTGCGATGTTTTGTCCACAGGGACAGTGGCAAAGTGTTGTTGAAGATGGCGCAAGGAAGCATGTATAGAACGACATGAACGTGGCTGGCTCACGTGATTTGAGAATCAAGCTGCATTGGATTGACAATGTGCAAGGATTGCAGAACGTCAGTTGTTCAACTTCTGAGAAAGAGACGAGAAAGAAGTAGACCGAGAATGCCCGGCCAACAACCTTTTGTAATTGGCAATGTACTCAAAAGTCCAATTGCCAATGCCTGAGGCACATCGGCAGTTTCCCCATTCAGCCGATACTTCAACCTTTCTTGAAACAGCTTGACAAGGAGGCTATCATCGGAGATGATCTTGTAGTCCACAGACACAACATGGTCGTCGACAAGATCAGAACAATGAGGAAAGGCTCTGCAGCATTCGCAATTTGAGTCGTCGGGTACTGGTCTATGGCTGATGTTGTACTTTATCATATAAGGGACGCTGGACCCGTTTTCCAGCAGGTGCTGCTCTCCACCAATAGATGGCGCCTCTCCCTAGGTGCTAGTGATGTCTGAGCACAACAGCATCACTAGCACTGCAGGGACTGTGTTTAAAAAAAAAAAAAGAAAAAAAAAAGAAAAAGAGTCGTCGGGTAAGGTCATGCCAGGAGTAACTCTCAAGGCCACATCAGTGAGTTACAAAATAGGACACGTGTGGGTGGCATCAGTTTGTCACATACACGAACATGTGTGGCTGCTCGAGGGTCGGGGTAAAACGCAACTACTTCTGGCGATTGTAACACATGGCGCAAGTTCGTAGCACGAACTACCTCATGCACATGTACGACCTTGATGTGGCCAGTAAACGGGGCATGAGGTTGTGCTGTGTAACGTTGGCGAGCATGCTGGGATTTCCGGATCAGGCATTAGAGTTCTCAAATGTCTACTGTCATGTACGCATTGGAGACATTGTTGTACAGCCATTGCAAAAGCCGTACCCGCCATGCTGGTGTCGCTTGCTCAATATCAGTCTTGACACGACACCAGTTACCCGAAGCAGCTTCACTGAGAAGGCGATGCAGTGAGGTACGAATTAAAAGTTTGGGACCCAGACGAAGATCAACAGCGAATGACCAAACCGAAGGTGTTGGCAAGAGAGGTAAACACTGAGGGAGTGTCAGTAAAAGGGGTGGAGCATGATAGCCAAGGGGTGTTAGTAAGAGGGGTGTTGTGCTAGAGGGATCAGCTGATACAGGAACGGATGGAGCAGCAATAGATGTGGCAGGGAGGGAAACAAGAGGAGTTGAGGCATGAGGAGGTCGAGGGGGCTGGGGAACAAAGTGACGAGGGCGAATTTGTGTGCAACGATGAGGGCGGAAGTGTCGTCGTGGAGACGGTAGTCTAGCCATTGGAAGGACTGCATTGAAACCGATGGGGTGAAGAGTTCAAAGTTTCCGAACCCAGAAACCCTCGCGGGGTGCAGCAGCCCGTCGGAAGAGCGCATGATCAACAACGCCTTTCGTCGTATGATAAAGGGTAGGATCAATACATTCTAAGGGTCCAGCCGCAAAGTTCAATGCTGGTTGCCCACACATTGCACAGTAGAGATGGCAATGGCGAAAAGCAGCAGAAGTGTCCGGTAAACCATAAGGCAGAGAGGGAGACGAGGACAACAAACAAGGGGCTGTGACACACTGTTTCATCGGAGTTTCACCAACTCATCAGGAGGCTGAACCCTCAACAGTCTGCAGAATTCCCTAACCGATTACACTGTAAGTGATAATCCACCTTAACACCGGCTGTGGTTAAGCATCAATGACTGGCCGACAACTGATTCCCTGAGGTGGGCACCAGCCAGTGCCCTCAAGGTACCTGTGACGAAAATCGAAGCAGACTATCACTCACCCACACCAGAAGGGAAACTCTACAGACTGTCGGTTCACACCCCATCACAAGCCAGCAAAACCCCCACGAAACAAAGGAAGCTCTGTCACAGCCAGAAAATACACTCCAGACATGCCGCTGGCACTGGAGGCATATATCGTCAAATAGAGCTGGCCAATAAACCTTAGGCAGAGAAGGAGAAGAGGACAACAAACCAGGGGCTGTGACAAACTGTTTCGTCAGAGTTTCACCGACTCATCAGGAGGCTGAAAATATTTTTTTGGGAGTCCATAACCCCCAGTAACCCCACTGACACCCCATACACCCCCCAACAGCCCTAAACCGCCCCCCAACATCCTCATACCCCTCCCTCCAATATCCCCTATACCACCCCTATACCCC